CCAGTGGAACCCAATCTGTGGTAAATCTACTGCATGAGAACCTCAAATGGATGTTATTGAAGTAGCTTGTGACCAAATTTCTTGCTTGTTCTGGAACATGGTAGTGCTGTAGTGCCTCAAGAATAAGTTGGTGGGTATGGAGCCATAAGCATTTGCAAGGTCAAGCCATACTACTGTAAGGTCTTTTGGTTGATTCTTGCCTCGTGTAGCAGTTGTGTGAGCGCACTAGTGTGCTCCACGCAGCCAGAGAATCCTGGGATTCCACCTTTCTGTACAGACGTGTCGATATACTTATTTTCTATCATGTAAGTTGTCATTCTCTTGGCTAGGATGGAGAAGAAAATCTTTCCTTCCACACTCAACAATGATATGGTTCGGAACTGTGTTATATTCTTCGAGTTCTTCTCCTTTGGGACAAGACAGCCCTCTGCTGTCTGCCAGCAATTTGGAATGCTTCCTTTCCTCCATACCACCCGTAAAAGTGACCATAGTGTTCTTAAAGCTTTGGGGCATTTCTTATACCACCTTGTATGGGATGCCACTAGGGCCCCTGGGGCAGGAGCAAGAGCGTGCTTTCTTGACCAAACATCGTTTATTTCTTTCCATTGTGGGCTCCTTCATGTTTTAGTGGAATGGCAGGCTTGTCTTACTGGTTGGATTCTTCCGCATTCTCCCAATGATTCGTTTCGGTGTGGGTCAGAATTGGGTTTCCTTAAGGTACTTCTTCCACTCCTTTCGCTACTCTCCAGCTTACCACATTTCTCCTCGCCCAATAGTTTCTTTCGTAAATTTTATGGATTTGAATTATGATTGAAAAGCTGTTCTTTTCTTTTGTTTTTTCCCTCTTTTTCGTCTAAGTTTTCAGCATTTGGTCAGCGACTTGAGTCTTGATCGTATCTGCTCTCTGAGTTGCTTTAATCCCTTCCTTCTCAACCGTACTTTTGATTGCTTGTACTGCTTCCTGAGAGACCGCAGTTTCTAGTCGGATCTTCTTTATTTCACACAGTCGTCTGTTAGGGACTGGAGGTGGTTGCGGTTGATTGGGTTTATTTTCTAAGCCAAATCTTTCCTTCCCAAGTGTGTATATAAGTGAAGTAAGTGCATTCAATTTCCTTCCCCATGCTCCGATGAGTGTTGACTGTAGGACTAAGTGTAAATCTTCGTCAAACAGTGCCCAGCCTTTGTCGTTCATCTTTGGCCAAGCAATCTTCTGTTTCCTCTCACTAGAAGTTGGCTGCTGCCTTTCATTGACTAGGTCGTGTGTCTCCCTTTGGTACTTCCTTGCAAGTTTGGTGATGTTCGCCATGACTCTGGGAAGGTAAGTAGATCTTCGGTGCTATTTCCTGTGGCTGAGACTCTCTCACTGGATTGGGTTAAACTTGGCCCAAATTATAGGCGAGTCCTTCCTTGTATTATTCAGCCTGAATATTGGTGAGTCCTCTTCTTCATCTCGTACATCATTATCTTGCTCCTCAGGAACAAATAACATGTATATTTTCCTGCACACTCAGAGGTCATCTATGGACTGTGTTACCTCCCCCGTCAACCTGCTACCAGCCATCGAAAAAACAGGAGCTAGGAGACTTCTAGTTACTTGTGGTTGGAAACCTGACCAGATATCTCCCCCGTCTCACCAGGTAAACCTGTGCGTTGCTGATGTTTTCGCTGTGACTGACAACCGCTCTTCGTCGCTGATGGATCTTCAGTCCTCGATGATTCTTACAAATCTTTCCACATTGACACACCACTGATGTGGTTTCTCCAGTCAAAGTCCGTTGTACGTTTCTGTTCGTTGCCATAATATCCGTCCTGTTGGGCCTTTCATCCTCCCCCCCTCTCGGATGGCCCTGGGGTATTTACTCTTTTGTTCTGTTGTAGCGTACTGTATGGTTGCCTCCTCGCAGAGACTGCATAACGGGTGCCGACCCATTATACACCGGTTTCTATAGTCTTTCCTAGATGTCGTCTGTCTCTCCAGCGTCACCATTCTTTCCTGGTTGTCATCCAGCCTTTCCTGGAAGTCACTGGTAAACCAGCATCAATGATGTGAAAATACAGATATACTGCTTAACGTAGACGTCATCAGCCGAGTACCCATCTGTCACTGGATGTTTCGCCCCTTATCTCTGACAATGTTGTTGGCAATATTTCAGTCAATGTTGTTGACAATATTTCAGTCAATGTTGTTGACAATATTTTTGTTAATGTTGTTGACAATATTTCAGTCAATGTTGTTGGCAATATTTCAGTCAATGTTGTTGACAATATTTCAGTCAATGTTGTTGACAATATTTCAGTCAATGTTGTTGACAATATTTCAGTCAATGTTGTTGGCAATATTTCAGTCAATGTTGTTGGCAATATTTCAGTCAATGTTGTTGACAATATTTCAGTCAATGTTGTTGACAATATTTCAGTCAATGTTGTTGGCAATATTTCAGTCAATGTTGTTGACAATATTTCAGTCAATGTTGTTGGCAATATTTTTGTTAATGTTGTTGACAATATTTCAGTCAATGTTGTTGGCAATATTTCAGTCAATGTTGTTGACAATATTTCAGTCAATGTTGTTGGCAATATTTCAGTCAATGTTGTTGGCAATTTCAGTCAATGTTGTTGACAATATTTCAGTCAATGTTTGTTGACAATATTTCAGTCAATGTTGTTGACAATATTTCAGTCAATGTTGTTGGCAATATTTTTCAGTCAATGTTGTTGACAATATTTCAGTCAATGTTGTTGGCAATATTTCAGTCAATGTTGTTGACAATATTTCAGTCAATGTTGTTGGCAATATTTCAGTCAATGTTGTTGACAATATTTCAGTCAATGTTGTTTACAATATTTCAGTCAATGTTGTTGACAATATTTCAGTCAATGTTGTTGGCAATGTTCTGACAATGTTGTTGGCAATGTTCTGACAATGTTTTTGGCAATGTTCTGACAATGTTTTTGGCAATATTTCAGTCAATGCTGTCGGCATTATTTCTGGCAAATTTTTAGTCAATGATTTTGGCAATGTTGTTGACAATATTTCAGTCAATGTTGTTGACAATATTTCAGTCAATGCTGTTGGCATTATTTCTGGCAAATTTTTAGTCAATGATTTTGGCAATGTTGTTGGCAATATTTCAGTCAATGTTGTTGACAATATTTCAGTCAATGTTGTTGACAATATTTCAGTCAATGTTGTTGACAATATTTCAGTCAATGTTGTTGGCAATATTTCTGGCAAATTTTTAGTCAATGATTTTGGCAATGTTGTTGACAATATTTCAGTCAATGTTGTTGACAATATTTCAGTCAATGTTGTTGGCAATTTTTTTGGCAATGTTGTTGGCAATGTTTTTGGTAATGTTGTTGGCAATATTTCTGGCAAATTTTTAGTCAATGATTTTGGCAATGTTGTTGGCAATATTTCAGTCAATGTTGTTGGCAATATTTCAGTCAATGTTGTTGACAATATTTCAGTCAATGTTGTTGACAATATTTCAGTCAATGTTGTTGACAATATTTCAGTCAATGTTGTTGACAATATTTCAGTCAATGTTGTTGGCAATTTTTTTGGCAATGTTGTTGGCAATGTTTTTGGTAATGTTGTTGGCAATATTTCTGGCAAATTTTTAGTCAATGATTTTGGCAATGTTGTTGGCAATATTTCAGTCAATGTTGTTGGCAATATTTCAGTCAATGTTGTTGACAATATTTCAGTCAATGTTGTTGACAATATTTCAGTCAATGTTGTTGACAATATTTCAGTCAATGTTGTTGGCAATATTTCAGTCAATGTTGTTGACAATATTTCAGTCAATGTTGTTGGCAATGTTCTGACAATGTTATTGGCAATGTTCTGACAATGTTTTTGGCAATGTTCTGACAATGTTTTTGGCAATATTTCAGTCAATGCTGTTGGCATTATTTCTGGCAAATTTTTAGTCAATGATTTTGGCAATGTTGTTGGCAATATTTCAGTCAATGTTGTTGACAATATTTCAGTCAATGTTGTTGACAATATTTCAGTCAATGTTGTTGACAATATTTCAGTCAATGTTGTTGGCAATACTTCTGGCAAATTTTTAGTCAATGATTTTGGCAATGTTGTTGACAATATTTCAGTCAATGTTGTTGACAATATTTCAGTCAATGTTGTTGGCAATTTATTTGGCAATGTTGTTGGCAATGTTTTTGGTAATGTTGTTGGCAATATTTCTGGCAAATTTTTAGTCAATGATTTTGGCAATGTTGTTGGCAATATTTCAGTCAATGTTGTTGGCAATATTTCAGTCAATGTTGTTGACAATATTTCAGTCAATGTTGTTGACAATATTTCAGTCAATGTTGTTGACAATATTTCAGTCAATGTTGTTGGCAATATTTCAGTCAATGTTGTTGACAATATTTCAGTCAATGTTGTTGGCAATGTTCTGACAATGTTGTTGGCAATGTTCTGACAATGTTGTTGACAATGTTCTGACAATGTTTTTGGCAATATTTCAGTCAATGCTGTTGGCATTATTTCTGGCAAATTTTTAGTCAATGATTTTGGCAATGTTGTTGACAATATTTCAGTCAATGTTGTTGACAATATTTCAGTCAATGTTGTTGGCAATTTTTTTGGCAATGTTGTTGGCAATGTTTTTGGTAATGTTGTTGGCAATATTTCTGGCAAAGTTGTTGACAATGTTTTTGGAAATGTTGTTAAAAAGTTTACAACACATTTTCAAACAAAGTGTTAATTTTGTAAATTTGTTAGTCACATTATTAAAACATTTTAATTTTTCATGTAAAAAAACTTTTACCGATAGATAATATTTTGCATTTTGAAAATTTCTATAAATTCTATCTTCATACTTTAATCTAGCACACTTTATCTATAAATTCTATCTTCATACTTTAATCTAGCACACTTCAACAGTTTATTTTTTTTAAAAGACTGAGAAACATTAAAAAAACACAATCAGTTAAATTATTATTGTTTTATTTCAGTATTTATGTTAATGTTAGTGTCTGTCAAAGATCACATTTACCTTATTATTTTCCTCCCTTTCCTACATAATTAAACAATAAAATACATCAAATTAGAATTCTGAAACTTAAACTGAGTCACCGTGAGTGTATATGGTACTAAACTTATCTGATTATGGTGTTAAATTGCTATAACATGAAGTATAATGCTAGAAAACAAGGGAGAAGAAATTGTGGTGCCATTTTTTAATTCTCATTTAATTATAATACATGTGGTTTCACTTTTTGGGTGTCAAACATTCAACCTCTAAATACCTTTGTGTTGAGTCAAACTCTAAAAACACTATAAGAAAAGAAGACATTGTATGGCGGGCATACTTAAAATAATAAAAAAATCTCATGAGTATAATTGGTTACATAATGGATAGTTAACCAGATTTTTTGGGGTCAATTAAGGTACAATTAAAATTTAGTTTTAGTTTTAGTTGACAGTGTACTATAATAATAAGTCAACATAGAAAATAAAATGCGGGCCATTAATTTATTTACAGAGTTTTCTATATAATGGTCTATATTTGGACAATGTTCCTATCAGACTTGATTGTATATATATTATACATGAACATGATCAACATTTTAATCAATTACCTGGTCATCTGATTTCTTCTGTCTCTTCCTGGAGGATTTCCGGCCGCTTGTTGACGCAGATCTTGCATCACTTCTCGCACTTGTCACAGAAACATGTTCCGACCTTCTGTTTGGAATGCGCTCGAATGATTTTGATCTTGTTTCACGGAAGCTCACAGCTGACTTTTCACGACTCCCTTGCCGTTCAAATGACCTTGACTTCAATCTAAATTAAATCATCAGAGGATGAAAAATATATGCAATCAGGCAATAAATCAATTGGCATTCATAATATGAATCGATGACAAAAAAAAAACATGCCATACAAATACATTTTGCTTCAAACAAAGTGCCATATTTTCTAAATCTTGACATGTACCAAAGTAAAGAAATTGAAAAATATGCCATGTCCTACTCACATGAAACCAAAGTAAGGTAACTGAAAATATCTGTCAATAAAATTCCACTTATTATATTGTTCTGAAAAAAGAATGCATTCTAGCTCATGCATGCTTGTATTAAGATATGTCTTGGACTATAATAACCCATGTCACAGAACCTGGATGCCTGCAAAAAAACTGATGCCTGCAAAATATCTATGTAGGAAAATTTGCCATAATTTTTCCATAAAAAAGCATATCAAAATGTCACAATCTTCATCTATACACCTAAATAAAAGGATATCTGTAGCTTAAATTGCATTCCAAGTGCAGCAGAAACAACCCTTAAGATCCTGTAACTCTATTTTTTATTATGTTTTTATATCAAAAATATAATGCTCAAATGAAGATTTATCAATATTGTAAGTTCCAAAAAGCATTATTTGTAAAGATATTACCGAATTTACATTTCATGCTAACAAAGGGGGGTAATTAGAAATTTATTTTCTATAAAGTCTAAGTCAAATTTTTCAAGAAGAAATGAATGCATATATTTCAATGATTACATATGATTATAAATCACTGACAATTATTATTGATTATACCAATTATGGTCTAATTAAGAGCTAATAATTAGAGTCTATCACTTAACCATGTCATATGTAAAAACATTGTCAACCAAATTCACAAAAAAATTCTGATATATGCTATAAGAAATAAAAATCTAAATGGCAGTTACCACCAGTGTAGTTGTAAGTTTTACACCATTTTAAATCATTAAAACAAAATATATTCTTATAACTTCCTCTTTATCTATGATTTATATTATCACTAATAATCATAATATTCTTACTAAGATTTAGTTTTATAATAAGCAACAGTAAGACATACGTGTATATATACTGTATTACACTGGTAAATGTATTTAAGGCTTTTTTTTCAAAAGCGGTATTCAACATAAACGTTAAACGCTGGTATATACATGTATATAGTACTTAAATCGAGTTAATGGTTCATTTTTCTCTTCCTTAAATCGATATAAAATTGCTTAAAATAGAACATTGACAGCGACTCAATATTAACAAGTATACATTTATTTATACTAAACGTGCCAGCAACATACATGTTAACATTAATTTGCTATGCATTTCATTTATTTTGTTGACATTAATATTTCATGTTTCAACTTAATTCTAAAAATAGATTATATAAATGTTTACGTACGTTGCCCCGGAAACATAATCAGGATCGTATTCCTCTAAAACATGAGGTAAAGTGCTCATTCGGCTGTCTGTCATGATTATTTCTTCTCTCTATCCATCATTGAAGGAAGAATAATTTACCCGCGAGGCACCATGCCAGGTCACACGAGTTCAATAATTTGTGTATCACATGACCTTGATCTATGGTTACCTTGATCATGTGACCAAACAAACATTCCCGCAAAATATCAAAATTTTTAAATCTGGGTATATTTTTCACGTGGGTTAAAGCTGGAACGTTTATTATCGCATATTATGTTTATAATATACTTCCCTTGTTAAAGTAACTTTTGTGTTGACTGTCTGAATCACTTAACAGATTGATATTTACTTATATACTTACACTAGATCTAGTCCAGAGATGTAGATATATAGATAAGCAGCTCCTATATATATTCTATTGAAATATCTCTCATGCCTATCAAAAAGTGAAAAATTAGGCATTTTGTAGCAATCAAAACTTAATGGACATAGATTTGATCCTTTTTATAGTATACACCAGCTTAAAGTTGAATATTTTATTTATCAATTGCTGCATGGTAACTTTCCATGCCACGTTGCCCAACTTGCCCACTGAGTCAGTTTTTCGTCATGATTATGCTAAGTTATCTAACAAAAGTTGATAATTGGTTCTCTAAGAGAAATGATGTATCATTTATTTCAATGGGAACTGTTAATGTCTTACCTGCAGCCATAGACAAATGTAGATCTATAAGCTTTCAGAAAATATATTAGTTTACTGATTTTGATGTCTGGTTTAATAAGTTTTACTTGCTTCAAGTTTTTACGAGTGCATGATATCTTTAACTGGCTCACAGGGACTCGGCCACAGTGTTGGGATGGTGCTAGAAAAAATCTGTACAATGTACTGTATATTTAATATATAGACTACAGATCTATATACAGTATTGTAATAATATTTTTTCTTACACTATCCCAACACTGTGCCTAGTCCATGTAAACTGTCTAGGAAGTTGTACACTGTTGTCAAATGACATGAAAAAGATAACGCTAATTTAAACAGATTAATTAAATGTTTATTTTCTGACATAACAAGCTCCGCATGGTGTACATACATGCCGCCATCAAGTTCGTTTCATGCGCTTGTATTTCGATTGAATCACGGTTTTAATTACTGACGTGATTGAATATAATATGAGCCGTGTCACGACAAAACCAACATAGTGCGTTTGCAATCAGCATAGATCCAGACAAGCCTGCGCATCCGCGCAGTCTGATCAGGATCCATGCTGTTCGCTTTCAGTTTCTCTACTTGTAATAGGGTTGGTTAGCGAACAGCATGGATCCTGATCAGACTGCGCTGATGCGCAGACTGGTTTGGATCCATGCTGGTCGCAAACGCACTATGTTGGTTTTGGCGTGACAAGGCTCAATTATTATAATAGGTATCTACATGTAAAACTGTAAAAGTAAACATTTGCGTCATTTATTGAGTTCTGGGCGATGTGCTTACTTGTACTTGAACAGTTCTTGAAAATGTGGTATAAACAGTGATTTCAGTAGATATACAATATATATCTATATTTAAGTGTCGTGTTTTTCCTTTAACAGAACAGAACAGAACTGTAACAGAATGTTAAGGAACAAAATATAACACAACAGAATATAACAATTTGGACTTGTGAGAGGCTAAAGATGGCTTCAGGTCGATCTTAAGGTAATTAAGGTGTTACCAACACTCAAAAGCTTTTGACACTACATGTATTGTTGCAGCACTTTGAAAAAAAAATCAACGCAAAATAGTGATTTTTGGCAACTTGGAGATGCCCCTCGTTGCCATGGTAAAAGAAATTTAAGCTTGAGCATGCCGTTGCAAAGGCTATGCTCTAGTAAATATGTGTGCGTATTAAAAGCATTTTTTAAAGTTTATGTTTTTTTTTATGAAAACAGCCATTTTTCACAAAATGCTCATGGAGTAATGGGTTAAGAAAACATTGTAAGTGCTTTCTTTAAAAGAAAGCCAGAAATGAAAACTATGTCGATATCATACTTCAAATCATATAACCACGAGGAAACACCCGGGGAATTGCCATCTGTTATAATAGGTTCCGTTGTCATCCTTATATCACTATATTCACTAGAACACTATCCGACGAAACACATGATTTTTGCTGTATATAGAGCACGCAAATTTATGGCATAGAGCTCGATCCACTTACGTACTCTCTTCGTCGGGTGAAACACGGCCCAACTCTCTAGGCAGTGTTGGGGATAGGATCATCTATCCACGAACTTCCGAGGAAACGAGGACTTATTGTTTTGATGCCAAATAATAATATATAAATTGAAATTGAAATAAAATGATATATGCATCAACAGAACATTGCAACAATACCACTTAGATTGATTCTTGTACAATTGAAGGCTTCGTGTAAAATTGCGATAGATGAAAGATACCGAATTACTGGCCATATATTATAAGGAAAAAGACATTAAAGAGAATAAGCTGACAAAATATTTTGTAAAATATTGATAACATTAAAGTTAAGCTGTTTCTATAACCTGATGGTCGTATCATAAAATATTTGTAACATTGAATGTTTATGTAGAATATACTGACAAATTTTATCGATTCCAGGTATTTTGTTATCATTTTAATCACATACAAAATTAATTTTACAGTAACATATACAAAATATAGGTTTATACACTTGAATAGTTATATGGTTACAAGTATATTGCTTCTACAAATCCTGTCTAATTGTCTTATTAATGTTGTTTTTGTTATAACTTATCGTTTGTATTTGAAGTGTATAAAGCTATATATCTGCTGCCTGAAGTTTACAAAACTTTGTTTGAATTTTGGAAAAGAAATATGTTGGCATATTTCCTTTTGAGCGAATTATATTGTATGCAATCATTGCAAACCAGTTAAAACCAGGAACAGCTGTGTGACGTCAAGGTTTCTTCTCCATCTGTATTTAGCTCCATGGTCATGTGCATTGAGTAACTTCATAAATAACGCGAATCGATCGTAAGCGAATGAAAACAAAGTAATTTTACCATAATTAAACGTATTATTTTAAATTTACTGCAGATGTTAACCCCTTATTCTGAAAGAGGTTCCTCAAAAATGCACACTTGAATGATTTCTCATCCAGTATGTATTGTCATATGTGTTGATTAAGAAAGAGAAACTCTTGAACTAAATTTAACTTTTTTATAACATACTCGTTAGTTTTATTTGTATGGATAAGGATAATATATATTTAAAGACATGTGCTGCACTTCATTTTGTAAATGTTGAAGGGATATCAGACAAAATTTACATTTATATGGGTTGCAAAACTAATAAAATAAAGTAACTTTATTACCTCCCTTTTCATTCTGACAATACACCTTAGCAGTCATGATTTATATTGAATTCTCACGAAATTTGCATTATAACTTCTATTCGTAAAACAATTTAATTTACATTCAGCGAAGATGGTTCATGGCATGAACATATTACAAATATAGTTTTTTTCAGCGCTAACAAAACAAATATTCATGTATCATGATTAAAATGCATCTTTAGTAATGTACGCTTTAGAAAAATAGTGCTGCAAATCAGCCCATTTTACTAGCCTATTTAGAGGGGTAACTGGTCTATGTCAGCCAACAGCAAGTTTCATATACCAAAATGTTCGTCTGGATCTGTAGTTCCTGGAATGGATATTCATTTGGCCCAACCCCGATGCGAAGCTAAGATATCCAAGATGGCGTCAAAGATGGCCGCCAAATCCCTAAATATTCTAGTATATTTACGTTGGCTTATTTCCTTTTTCAGTTTTTTAAATCAATTAAAATTTGAATAAAATTCTTATTTTCAACTTACTCATGCTATAAATTTTGACTTTCATTGATTTTTTTCTAGTTTTCATCGCCTAAATTTAAACGAAAAGAAGAAAAAATATGTTGCAAACTGGGTGTGCCTTTCTGAATATGTGTAACTTATTAGTTTTATTCTTGTTTAAACTGAATAACATTCATGATTTCGTTTAATACAGCTTTAAAACTATATCTACACATATTTAGAATAAGTTAGAATAAGCGAACTATGCCATAAATGTGTTTTATTGATCTAAATTCATATACAAAGTGGGTGGGGTATTACGAACGGGGAGTCAACTGTTTAGTGTTCAACCCTTTTACAGTTGGACACTACGCTTTCCTCTTTTGATTGCATCTGACGGACCAAGTGGGAGACTCTATGATGGATAGTTCGTAAAGCCCTTTGGGATTGAATTGTCTTAATGTTCGTCTTCTGCCTTGCTTCGTTCGGGCCCTTGTAGGTGATTTTCTTGTTGCTCTGTCTTCCTTTAGGACATTGAGTACTTTTGTTATGGGTCATTGGGTTTACTTTTATATGTTTCTACATGATCATTTTAGTGTTTTACTTATTTAACCTTTTGTAACCATGACAACTGTTAGAATTTCACTTGGCGGGGATTCATTTTATTTACACTGTTCGTTTATAGGAACATGGTGGGCTAAGAGCGAGGTTTGGTGCACATTAAACCGGTTTAAACTCCCCAGCAGTCATTATTTTGCTGCTGACCGTTTCAAGGCGGCGCCCCACTGTGTTCCTCAGATGTATGTCTTATGTTGTTTCATACTGTTTTGGTGACACTTTTGCTTGTGTCCCTTGTTGTTTTCTCGTCTACGGTAAGTATCTTCCCCATTGCCTCTAGTTTTTATTTCTTTGATTACTCCCCACCCCCTCCCCCGGTCTCCTGTCCCCTTCCCCTTTGTGGGCCTATTTTTATTTTCTTTGAATTCCTGGTCGGTTGCGGATTGGTTATCATTTGATGGTTGGCCTGTCCGTGCTCTGTCTTTGCCCTGTCCTGTTTTTGTTTGGGGTCCCCCTGGGCTCCTTGCCATTGGTTCTTGTTGCTGGGTCATGTGGGGGTTGCGTTCATTGAACGCCGCCTTTCCTTGTTGATCTTGTTTATCATATTTTAAATTAAATACTTTTTTGTTTTATATTATACTAGTGGTATTAAAAAGATTAACAATTTTATTTAATTGGTTAGTGATGAGACATCTTACCTTTCATAGAAAATGCCCTGCATGTGTGTCTAAATGTTGAAATATCTCTTTTATTTGTTTTATGCACACAATA